ATCCTTAGATAACAGGTCGGTTTCCGGCTCAACTCTATTCCACTCTTGCTACTCAACCTAAAGGCTTTAGCCATGTGGTTTGATTTGTTTTGTTGTGTTTTTACCCGGACTTTAATTGAATGGTCATTTAATAAAGATGTTGAGTATTTTATTTTGAGAGTTGCGCAAAGAGTGAGGTTTGTATGGCGTAAGCGACGGGTGTGAGCGCAGAGAACGGTTGAAGTTGACCCCGTGTAGTGTGTGCTCTGTTGATGTGGATCTTTGATGTGATTGCAGGTATGTCAGTTGAATCCAGACTTGCAGATATATATACTTTTGAAGGAAGCCGCACTGTGATTATGAAAGTGATCATCTCCTATCTCATAACTTTTATATCATATTTTCTGGTGTCTGCACGACCCATTGAGGTTGCGCCCAGTGATTAAATAAGTTATACATCGAGAGAAAAGAGAGATCCCTTTTTAACTTTTTGCTTTTTAGAGTTAGCATGGTTGGACATTGTAGTCCGTGGCAGCCGTCAAAGTCAAACCCCTTGATCTCTGGCCGCCACGACAGCTTGGAGTTGTCTACTCAACCCCTCTGCTCAGGGCGCAGAAGAGGGTGTGGTCTACACCCGCGCATGGCGGTTGTCTAGCGTCGGGAGATTAACTCCTCAAGGCGCTTGTCAGCCGACACTTGAGTGTCGAACGTGACCCTCGAGATTATCGAGGATCGCGCGATTATGGGTACCACATGGTACTCCATCGTTGCGACTGCTTGCGTACTCATGCATTGCTGGTAGATATGAGGAGGCCATGCGCTCGCACGACTCTTATACGAAAGCCCAGCGCGCGATACCTATCTGATTCTCGCATCAGAAAGTTATGGGTCGGATACTGAAGGGACTAGGAGTGTTGTTGTGTTGTTGGTTTGTTGTATTGTTGTGTTATTTGTTTTTGTGTGTGTGTGAGTGTTGTGGTGTAACATCTGGATGCGTCCTAGTCGACCTTTGTCGAGTCGCGTTTGGGACCTCAACCCCCCAGCGCATCGATTTGCGTGCAAGTTCGATTTTGGGCGTTAACCGCGCGTACCCCCTATGCTACAGCGAACGAGAAACGCCCTCAACTGGGTCACCTCTGCGATTGCATACGGAAAGCCTTCGCATGTGGTTCAGTAGCTCGGTAGGGATACACCCACCTAAGGGATCGTGACAGCTCCCGCAGGTGGAGGTAAGCGGTGCCTCGCGTGACCCTGTCCTATCGTAGGGGCTCTTGAGAGGTACGGTTGGCGCACTCAGCCGGAGCGGCAAACGCTCTCCGCGACAAGTCCTGCCAGATTCTGCGTGACGCGGCCGGGAGGGTCGCCGTGTGGGACCGATGCGCTCAACAACGCGATACTCTGCACTCACACATACACACACACACTACACTCTAACTCTAACCATGGCGGCTATGGCCACAACTACCCTATCGCTATGCTACGTTCCTTCGCTCTCGCCCACTTCAGCTCCGGGCTCTCTGCAGACCTCCTTGCACAAGTTGTAGCAGCGCTTCCGCATGGCTCACGCAGGAATGAATGAATGGTTGGGCGCTGCCTCTTGATTTATACTTCTGAAACTCGTTGGTCTGCCCTTTGCCTTCGGCCCATGGTGCTCACAGTCCCTCGTGGTACTTGCTGGACCGGACTAGGATTGACAGGACCTTACCGTTGATTGGATACGCAACTTAGTCTAGAAACACGAAGTCCCCATGCTGACAACTCTCTGGTCAAGCAAGGCTGAACTTCTTTATGGCCATCTTCTTGATAACTCTCTTGGATAGGAAACTTAGTCAAAAGACATGAAGTCCCTCCACTGACAAGTCTCTAGTCAGGTAGAGCTGGACTTCTTTTATGCCCGCCAGATCCCCTCTTCTTCACGAGATCAAAATTGATTACTCTTTTGATGTACCACAGCCACGAGGTCTCTTAACTTAATATCACTACAACTGCATTTTACAGTTACTCCCCACTCAGGGATCTGATGCTCGTGGGTCGACTGCGGCTCAACATGCATAACACTTCGATCTCGTTGATTCCATCGTTTATAGAAAATAATAAAATCAGTTTAGAATCAGAAACGAATGCATGTCATCTGAAAAGTCTCTCTCTAGTCCTTTATGACAAAATCAGACATGCTGATACTGAACTGACAATGCAAGAATAGTCAAAATCGGTTGAAGTTCTTGTCTTTGTTGTACCTTTCCATCTCATTATATTTTTCTCAGTCCTCTGAAGCAGCTCTATTACTGGATGGCTGATTCTTCTTTCATGTTTTTGAAGTCGTTGTAGGGACCAAGTCATGGTCTCTGAAGATGAACTTACGAAGTCTTGACCCTGATACCATGTCATGAACTCTTGAACCATCCATCTCTGATATCTCATCAACTTTGCCCTCAGCTTCACCTGTAATTCTGTAAGGATTGAGCCATCTAGGCTCCAATCGTTTAGTCCACTAAGTCTCAAGGGAATTGTCGAATAAGAGGACAACGTCACCAACTTTCAGTTTCTTTTTCCTTATATATCTCTTCTTGAACCATCTCTCTTGATCTGCCAATCTAGTGGTTGTCATTCTCTCTGCCGCGTCCATTACTGCCTGGTCAACTTCTGATATCTGTCTCATTCTTATCTGAAGAAGTTCTGAAATGAAGTACTCTTTGTCACTTTTTTGGCTCGACCATGTCTTGATTATACTTTCAATAGGCAAAGTAGCATACCGACCATACCACAGAGTGAATGGAGCATAATCAATGGTGATGTTGTCAACATAAACTGCAGCTCTCAATACTTTTGGCCAATTATTGAGGTTTCCTTCACACCATGTAGCCAATGAATCTTTCAGCGTCATGTGACCTCTTTCGACTGCTGCATTTGCTCGAGGGTGATAGGTGGTTACATACCGAATTCTGACTCCTAGTCTGAGATTGGTTCTTCTAACGATCTCATTCCTGAATTCGGATCCTCTATCTGAGACAACCCCTCTGATAAAGGGTACCTGAGATAGACTTCCTCTATCCAGTCAGCCACTTGCTCGACTGTCTTTCTTTTCAGAGCCTTTGCCTCAACATATCCTGAGAAATTATCCCTGATATTCAATCTGTATCTCATACCACCCTTGCCTAGGAGCATGGTGATGAGATCTAAGTGGCCTCGACTGCCTGACTCCACCAGAATAATAGGAAACAAAGGCTCAATCATCCTTGTTGCGTACCTCTTCTGACATAACACACATGACTTACAGAATCTGTAAATCATGTCGCTCATGCCAGACCAGAAGTAAAGCTTTACCGTCTTGAAGTAGGTCCCTTCAGCAACTCTACAGCCACCAGCAACCCCCTTGTGTAGAGCAACAATCATTTCCAGTTGTCTTCTTTTCCATAAACCACTCTTAATAGAGGCAATCCTCCCTTGCCATCCACGAAGAGGTCACTTTTAGCCTGAACTACTTCGAGTCTTTGCAGTAATACTCCTTTAGTTGTTCTCTTTCCATCTTCTTCCCAATCTCTTGGTAACTTCCATCATACTCCTCAAGAATGAAAGAGATCTCTTCTTCTTTCTTTTCCGTTTCTTCCTCATTCTTTGACCCAGAACTTCCCCCATCTCATGGGCAGCTACAGCTACTGCATTCATTTTTGCGTACCAATCGCTTTGTTCTTCCTCTTCTTCCTTTTCAAGAACTAATTCATAGACATAGGTATCAAGGATTTTTCCCCAGCTGTCTCTTTCTTCAGGCCATAAGCTCCACTTGTAGGAACTTGGAGCCTTATAATCTTCATCATCTTCCTCATTCAGGAAGTTATCTACATAGGCAGACTCTTCAATTGTCCCATCAACATTCTCATCTTCTTCTTTTCTCCATTTAATTTTGCATCCACCCGATTTTTCTCTGTAGGAATTTTTTCCACAAGGGCAGGGTGTGGAGGGGTTGAGTTGCGAGGGAAGCAGGAAGTCGGAGGGCAAGCGAGGATGGTAGCCAAGGTCAAGGTAGAACGGGGACATGCCAGTGGAAGGGCAGACGACGTTGTTATAGGCGATCTCGGAGGTTGTGAGCAACTGGTCCTAGTCGTGTTGGTGTGGATGACAATACTTCCACACGACTCTTTGGAGAGTATCGTTCATCTTCTCGGTTTGTCCATCGGTCTGGGGGTGGAATGCAGTGCTATACTTAAGCGTGGTTCCATATGCTTTGAAGAGGTGTTTCCAGAAGTGTGAGAGGAAGCGCGGATCACGGTCACTGATGATGTTCTCGGGGAGGCCGCGATGGCGTGCGACATGATCGAAGAAGAGGGTGGCGACGTCTTTTGCATTGTGCGAAGTCGTGCAAGGACTGAAGTGGGCATGTTTGGTCAAGCGGCAGAAAATGACGTAGATGCAGTCATGCCCGCGGTCAGTCTTGGGGAGGCCGCACACGAAGTCCATGGAGATAGACTGCCACCGGTGATTGGAGCTTGCCGGGTTTGGCTCGATTCGAGAGGTTGACAACGTGACATGTGGGGCATGAGCGAATGTATGCTTTGACGTCGGTGAGCAGGGAAGAACAGTAGAAGTAGCGGGAGATGGTGTCGAAGGCTTTTTGGAAACCGAGGTGTCCTGCGGTCTTGGCGTCGTGGTGCTCGACCAAGAGTTAAGTACGGAGACCACGTGCGTCGGGGATGCAAAGTCGGCGAGTGCCTTTGGTATCGTTGTAGAGAAGGTTGTCGTAAAGGGAGTAGTCGGGGACTGGGTCAAGATCACGAAGCTTGTTGTAGATAGTGGCGAAGTCTAGGCAAGAGAGGTAGCCTTGGGCGTATCGAATATGGGAGATAGGGAATGTCGATAGTTGTTTCGGGGAGGGTTGTTGAGGCGGAGGAAGTTGGGGTGGAATGCGTATGGCATGTAGCGGTCCAGCCACGGTGTTCCTAAAACGATGTCGCACATCAAATGCATGACATCAAATGAGACCTGACTGCGAAGGGTTCCTACTGTCATGGTGGTCTCGGGAACCGTGCGGTCCACTACGGCCACGGTGTCTTTGTCCCCTAGACGGATCGTAATCGAGGAGTCGTAACCGGTAGAGGTAAGACCGAATTTCCAAACACACGCGTTGGTGATGAAGTTACCAATCGCTCCTATGTCGAGGAGGGCCCGAAACTTAGTGGTAGACGCACCAAGGGTGGCGGCGATGAATTTGAGGTGGAAACGGCATGAGTTGGTGGTGGAGATAACAGTGTTGAGGCGGCGTTGTTTGTTGCCAAACCGGATAAGCCAATCGAGTCGAGCTTGTTCCTCAACAACATCGGAGAAGGTATAGACGATGGATTTGGAAGGAGGGTGGAGGAGCACGAAGCAGTGGGGGGCGTCTCAAGTGATTAAGGTTGCGACGCCTTGGGGTCATCCGATGGAGAGGGTGTCACCGGGGAGGGGGTAGGCAGACGGATTGTCGATGCCAAATGGGCCGTCAATGGGACAGGGGATGTCACCGGCGGGTTGGCCGGTGCTGGGAGGAGGTCCTGGGACCGTGTTCAGGACGAGGAGGGACCCGCGCCTGCGGAGGGGTGTGACGTGGAGGTTGCAGGTTGAGGGGCCGAGGATTGGCGGGTGAATTGTCCAGCACTAGGGCAGTTAGTTTGTTGGTGTCCTAACTGACGACAACAGAAACATCCACCCTTTGCCTGAAGGTAGGCTCTTTCCTCGGATGTGATTTTCTTGAGGCGGCCCAAGGGGGTGTTCAGAGAATGGCGGCTGGAGCGATCTCTCTTTTCCATTCGCATAGGGTGATGGCAGAGAGTTCGTCGGGGGAGAGTGATGTGGTGTCTGGCGGATCGGAGAGGGTGTCAAGGTCCGGGGAGGTGAACTCGTCCAAGGAGGTGGTGGAGGTGGTGTCCTCGGAGGCGATGTTGTCGAAGAAGCGAGGGCGGGGAGGGGCCGATGTAAGTGCGGTCTTGTAGGGAGAGGATGCGGTCGAGTTGGAGGGTACGAGTGAGGAGGTCGACTAGGGTCATGGGGATGGGGGGCTCGTGGACAAGGGCGGCCGCTAGGTCTTTGCGACAAACGCGCTTACAAAAGGGGATATGTTGACGAAGCGAGCGGACATATTGCACAAAACGATTGGTTGGTCCGTTTTGTTGCAGCCGACAAAATTGGAAGGTGGAGGTGATGAGGGTGCCCCACTCAAGGATGGTGTGAGGCCGGAGATCGGCGTGACGACGATTAGACATTTCGGTGTACCATCAGCGAGCAGCGTTGTCTAGAAGTCGGCCGTCAGCGATGGGGAGCCAGTGGATGATGAGGATGTCGTGGAGGGAGAAGGCTTGTTGGAGTTTGGTGAGAAAGAGGAGGACATCCTCATGGGGTTGGCCCGAGAAGGTGAGGATTTCGTTGACGTGGAATAATGGGGGGATTTTGCCTTCTCTGGGGTTAATGGTGGCAAGGGTATTGCAATCAAGGGTGGGAGAGGAAGAGTCGAACAAGGTGAAATCATTGGCGGGGTTGGTGGGAATGAGAGCATTTGGGGGAAGTAGAGGAGCGGGATACCCAGCTTATGGAATGATCTAGGTATAGTTGGGGTCGGTTGAGGTAATAGTGGAGGTGGATAAGAGCGGTTTTGATTGGGTGGGGACGATTGATGATTGTGTGACGGCAGGGGTTGTTGTCTTGGGAGAGGGGGGAGGTGGAGCGACCATGGTGGAGGTAGTGGTGGATGAGGGTGGGGGTGTACAGGTGGACAGTGTTGGTGTGGAGGTTGAAGCGGAGGCTTGTCCGGAGGAGGGGGTGGGTTGGGGTGTGGAGGAAGGGGGTGTGGTCGTGGTGACGACCGTGATGGCGGGGGCGTTTCCCTCGAGCGTGGTGACACGATTGAAGATGGCAGCCATCGTGGTGTTGATGGTGGCGAGGGAGGATGTGAGGGCGGTCAACGTTTGGAGGATAGTTGCGAGTTCCACGGTGGTGGTGGTCGAAGTTGGCTGATCGCGTGCGAGTTCGCGCGCAATGCTGTTGACGGAGTCGGAACAAAGATCAGACATGTTGATGGAAGATTGGGCCATGGTGGGGGAAGAGGGGGGGAATGACATGGCCGGAGCGAAAGTGGAGGCGGGAGCAGCGGATGTGATAGGGGCAGCGGTGGCGGCAGCGGCGTCGGCGGCGGCGAATTGGGAGGTCCTATTTACAAGAATAGAGCGTCATCAAGTGATTTAGCAATCGCAAAGCAAGAATTAATTTTGAATAAATTAATTTGAATTTATTTGAAATTAATTCGAGTGTAGTTTTCAAGAAAATACGAAAACAAAATTTTCAGGAATTTCCAAATGAAAAAAAAAACTATGTAGCACGACATACCTGGCCGGATAATCTGGTCGGATTATCTGGCCGGATTATCGGGGGCTAGGATTATCCGAAAATCCGGATGATTAAAAACATGGCCAAAAAAAAAAAAAAAAAAAAAAGTAATATTGCGCATGCAAAATACAATAGAACTATGTTCCTATTTCATAAAAAGCTTGGTAAGTCATGGAAGGGTTGAAAGGGGGTAAGATAGGGAATGAAGGGGTTTAGAGGGGGGATGCTTGATTCGTTTTATAATTTTTTATCCAAATATTATCTTCTTTTTCTGTTTTATATTGTTATCTTTTTATCTGTTGAGATATCAACAATGGCCTCAAGCCAAAAGTTGTTCGTATCATTGATGTGAACAACATAACTTTTTTCCAGAATTTTTTGAATTTTTTTTTTTTCCGGTAAAAAAAAATGTTTTGCGCAGGGCCGGATTTTCCATATCCGGAATTAATCCGGAATTTTCATCCGGATTGGAAATTCCGGATAAAATGGCCTGCCGGATATCCGGATTTTCTACCTAGAAAAAAAGAATAATTAATTCTGAGAAAAATAAATTCTGACAAAATTTATTCGGATTTCGGTTCGGGGTAAAATTGTATAATTTCGAAAAAGGGTGATTAATTCCGAGTAAAAGAGATTAATTCAGTCGTGAATTAATTGAGTTTAGTAAAAAATTCTCAAAATTAATTAAAAAGAATTTTTCAAATTTCAACAAAAATTACAAAAAGGAATATGCGAATTAAAATACTGAGAAAAAGAATTAATTAGAATTATTTTTGAATATCCAAAAAAAATATCGAAAAAGAATTTAACTAACTCTAACATAATTTCAAAACTTTCGAAAAAAAAATTAATGAATGCGAACGAAAAGAATTCATTCTAAAATATTTTTGAATTACAAGAATTTCAAAATGATTTTCGAATTTCGAAGACGAAATGCCGAGAAAGAATGCTTACTCCTATGTATTTTTGAAAATTTTGAAAAAGAAAATATTTTTGGGAAAGAAATGTCGAGATAGATATTTGATAAGTATTTTCAAATTTTCAAAAAGTAGCGTGGCTGAGGGAGAGAGAGGAGAGGGTGAGAGCACACACACACTCACTCAACTCGACGTAGACTCGACAAGACTCGACGGACGCATACACGAAGTGGCGAAGTCGTAAAGTCGCAGTCTTTGATTCCCGAACACAATGTCGAAGCAAGTCACACCAAGCACAACCACTGAGGCCGGAAACTGAATGCCCCAATGGGGCTCGAGTCCGATCTTAAGTACCGGACTCAGGCTCAGTCCGGAGGGCCGAGGTTCGGCGTGCCTCAGGACTGAACTGAAGGTCGCAGGTCTGAGTCTGGGTGCCAGAATGCCAGGTGGCGCTGCCATAGGGATTTGAAAACGGGTGCCAACTGCAGAGGGCGCCAACAGTCAGAAACCGAAAGCAGGAAAAAAAATAAAAAAATATATAAAAAAAATAGTAGGCTGGCGGGTGGTACCCCGCGGACCAGGGATCGAGCCCTGGCTGAGTCCGTAACATCCCAGGTTTTTTGTTGAATGCAGGCTGGAGTTACTTTCTGTTGGCTGGGCATACTGGGACAAGCTTCAGCCGGGTCAATTTGCACAGGCGGCACCTGCTGGGTGCAGCCAAGACCCGATGCCTCACAGCTTCAGGGGTGGTTGAATATAGAGGGAGGAAAGGGAGGGAGGGGAGGGACTGTTCTGGGGGCAGGGGTTCTGCCTCAAATGGCAGCTTCTCGCAGATTGCCTTTCCCTTGGCCTTACTGTGGCTGCCCGAGAATTGTTCTGGGCACAGGGGTTCTGCCCCAAATGGTGGCTTCTCGTAGATTGCCTTTCCCTTGGCTTGATGTGGCTGCCCACTGCACTTGAGGTAGCCATTTCAAGAAGAAGAAGAAGAAGACTAAGACGGTCAAGAAGAAGTAGAAGGAATGCCGAGATATGGATGGGTAGATGGAATGGGCAGATACATGTATGGATAGACAGGATGGCGAATAGACGGACAGATGGAGGAATAGATTGAAAGGCGGGATAGACAAATGGATCTCTCTCTCTCTCTCTCTCTCTCTCTCTCAAACTTGAGGTAGCCATTTCAACAAGAAGAAGAAGAAGACTAAGACATCGATGTGATGACCCGACCAAACACGGACTGAGAGACACAGTTGATTTCTGAGTTTTGCTTATGGACTGAATGCCTTGCTAAGTTACCCGGTTGCTACTAAGTTCTGCATGTCTGTGTGTGTGCACGCTTGCTGGTCTGCATGACTGTCTGAGTGCTGGTGCTTGTTCGTTCGTTGGGCCCTCAGGCCGGTACTTATCTGTGGCCGTGACATTGGGGTCTGCAGCGGGGAAAACACTCAAGTGGCGGGAGAAGATTGCCGCAACACTTGAAGCAGCGGGGAAACACTCAAGTGCCAGGTAGGCCGGTACCACACCCTGAAGAGGTAGATGTGCCGGGTACTGGAGGCCGAGCCGAAGAAGACAAAAATGGCATCTTGAGAGGCCAAGTAGTTGTAGGCTAGGCCTAGGCGGGTACCAGTCCAACCAGTCTGAGTCTAGGGCCTGTACGGGAAATAACGGAGTCTGCAATGATGTTTCCCTCCAGAAGGGAGCAGGTACCGGTTGCTTGAAAGGCCGAGCGGCGTGGAAGTGACCGCCCAAGAGGCAAGCAGGCCGCTATATCTCGAGGCCGGCCGAAGAGCCCAGCCTCATTGTCGGTGTGCAAGTTTGGCGACACACTGGTTGGAGCGCTGGCCGGAGCAGCGCTAGCTTGGAGAAGCGCTGCTGGGGAAAGGGCAAGGACAAGGAGGAAGAAGACCAGGAGGAAGGGTGAGCGCCAGAGGTACTTACCTGGCTATGGTGGCAGCCATCTTCATCACCTTGGTGGGCGCTGCAGCAGGAAGACCCCAGCTGGGGTAGAGCTACACCAAGAAGCTTCGAGGCAGAGTCAGGCATGGCGGCCTGAGCTAGAGCAGCCATAGCTGCTTTGGGTTGTCCTTTGGGCATCAGGGCAAGGCCCAGTAGTCCGCCACAGCCTCCGCCTATGAGAGTGAAGAGTGACGGAGGCGGCCATGGCTAAGGTGGACCTCAAGTGATACCTGCAGTAGACGAGGGATTCGGACATTGATTCTGGTTCAGGCATTCAACGTTGTACTATTATTTCTTGTGAATAAGAGAGGAGGAGTAAAGGAGGAGAGTGTTTGGCGAAGAAGAAGGGCTTTACCATTTGTCTATGCTGGTGTACATCATCTTCTTCTTCTTTCTTTCTTTCTTCTTCTTCTTCTTCTTACCCTCTCTCTCCTCTCAAGTTCATTCATTTCTTTCTGCAATTGGACGGCATTGTTCTATCTGATGAATGTATACTTCGAAATTGGCCAGGATCATAACATTGGTATCAGAGCGGATTCTACTTGCTGGTGAGAGTTGACTTATCCACCCTAACCCTAACCTAAGTGGTAAGGGCTAACCACTTAAGGTTAGGGTTGGTCCGAAGTGGGAAGTGGGGCAGAGTGACTTAGGGAAGCTGCCCCCACCTGGTTAGGTCATGCTGGGTCGGCATAGAACCTGACCAGGTTGATTGAGAAGTAAGTGGCGGCAAGACACATCAAGAGGACCATGCGACAAGCTGGAAGATGCGACAGTGAGAGGCGCTAGAACCTGGAATCTGATTTAAGGGAGACACTTGGTGACTTGAGGGCCTCCCTCAAGTAGGCGATCTTGAGGGAGGTAGCCATTCTCAATCTATGGACTGCAAGTTACTACGATCTGGCGTCTCACATTGGTGCTGGAAGTGAGACCCTCCTACATGGATGGATAGACAGGAATGGCGAGATATGGATGTATAGATGGAATGGGCAGATACATGGATGGATAGACAAGATAGCGAGATAGGCGGACAGATGGATGGATAGATGGAAATATGGGATAGACGAATGGATGGATGGAATGACAAGATAGATGGATGGACCTCTCTCTCTCTCTCTCTCTCTGGTCCCTGCCACTGTCAGGAGGAACGAAGACGGGGAAGAAGAAGAGGCGGACATGGAGGAGGGGGGGGCAGAGGTCGCAGTACCGTCGTACAACCATCATCTGAGGTTGGGTGAGGTCCCACACTGGGTGGCCACTCCCTCTCTCTGGCTCTCTCCCTCTCCCTCTTTTAACTGTCTTATCTTTCTCTTTCCCTTTGTCAATATGGTCACTGGGCGCTGGCACCGTGAGCAGGGATGACGACGATGAAGGACTAGGGGGGACGTGATGGAGGAGGGAGAGGCGGAGGTCACGCGACTCTCATGTCAGGTGGCGCGCGGAGAGCCACATAACAATCATATACATCAAATAGCTTGCAAGACTGCAAAAGCCCTTCACAGGTTCTTTTCTGTGACTACATTCTATGGTTCAGAAATTGGAAATACGTTGTTCGCAACAGGACACACTACACAAAACAAGCGGAAAAAAAATATCAAAAGATGCAAGAGAGAGAGGAACGGCTCAGGCTAGGCATAAGTCAAGAACTGACCTGTTGCACTGATGTTTTTGATAACTCCAAGACGTTTTGAAGAGCATCTGCCAAAGGCTGATCAGCAACTGCCAACCGTTCAAAAACCTTCGCGGTTTCCTCGTCCAAGGCCAACTGTCGGTTGTCAGTTTGCCGTTGAGTGTGGTCCTTCCACCCTCCCTGAGGGAATTCCTCTTTCACAAACCCTTTTCCTTTCTGTTTCCCTTCTCGCTTCCCACGATTTCCACTACTCCCTCCACTTCCCGTGCTTGACGAATCAAACGATCTATGACTCTGACATGGGCAAGAGCTTTCTGAAGGTTCCACTTTAACCTTCACAGACTCTGATCGCCCATTCCCCTTCCATTCACCAAATGCCTCTTGAATTCTTGGTCTCGGTTTAGCAGCATAACATGGCTCTCTTGCATTCCAACCATTGCTTCTATCTTCCCATCCAAGCTTCTCTTTCTCCTTTAGACCTGCCAATCTGTTCGACTGGTTTCTTTGGTCTTGATCATAAGGTGGGCTCTGCGACCTCGACTTCGGAGGTGAACCCCATCCAGTTGGTACGACGACAAAATCAGAGTCATTCATGCCACTCTGGCTTGCAGGCGCAGATGAACTCTGTGGCTTACCCTTAGGTGGTGAGCCCCATCCTGCAGGCTTGATTTCAGAATCAGGGATGTTCCTGCCAGATGGAGTGAAAGGAGGAGGGCTCTGCTGAGTTGGCTTCTGATGGTAATCCCATCCTGTCGACTGACTAAAAGAACTTGAGCCTCCTTGCATTGTTGTCACTGATGGAGGTGGGCGTCCCCATGCACCTCGAGGTGGCTCATTTGCCTGTTGTGGCTCCATTGCGCGTGCGACTCCTCTTCCCTGGTGGATCCTCCCTGTGCCATTGTGCTGCTCACGCTGGAATGTAGTTCTGTCTGGCTGTGGTGGTTCCCGTCCACTCTTCCTACCCAGCATCAGGTGAAGAAGATCATCTACCTGTTGCTTATCGAGTTCGTGCATGAACTTGTTCACATTGAAGTAATTCTTTCCAATAGCACTCTTGAATACTCTCTCGGGGATTGGGGAGCACTCCTGCACCCATTTCACTCTCACCTGCAAGGAACAAGATTGTGAATCACGCAGCAAACTTCTAGTCATGGAGTGCACATTGGTAATGGAATGCACCCTTTTCATTCTCACATGCGAGAAACCAGTCGTGAAGTGAAAGATGCCAAAACACAACATCTCAGTCTGCAGACATTGCATACTGCAGTCTGCCACATGAAGCCTTTCACTGATGGCACAGGAACACACTTCTTTTTTTTTTCTTATTTGGACCATTTCTCAATTTATGTGTGTCATCCTTGTGCAGGGGCCACATGCTAATCTTCTCTGTATCGTTCCAATTTTAACGGATGTCCCAAAGGACGGGCACAGGAACACGCATATTCTTTAGCTATCGGAAAACTTTGTAACTGTGAAGTGCAATTACGAGCTCAATACATACATGTTATTTACTAACATTAGCCACATCTTGTGCAATAAACTCAGTTCAGATACACAATGGTGCGGGCCTGGGTCGTAACTTTTGGTCGAAAGGCCAGAAACAGGGGTCAAAGGTCTCGTCCCAAGTCTGAGAAATGCCTAGTAAAGGGACTAAGGTCAAGGGGTAGCAGGGCCTGGGTGAAAAACAGCATCCAGTGCCCCCACGTGAGGTAGTTCACTCTTGGAAATTCAAGAGTCGGACCAAGCACGGAAAAGGAGGCCCACAGTCAGCTTTGTCCATAGATCAGATGCCCATCAATGGTTGTCTGCAGGTATCCAGAAGATTATCCCGACTGGGAAAAGGTACCGCTGCTTCAGGGCTGCATCCAGGCCGTCGAGATTGGGCAAATCTGAAGTGTCGACACCGTCAAATGGGAGACTGGTCCACGCCAGTCAACACTGGTCAATGCTACAAAAGGACGGTCAGACACTGGGGAAGGTATTCTGCCTTGAGCTAGCTTGATGCTACTGCTGTGGGCTGCTGGAGAGGAATGCTGACGCCAGACACTTCTGGAAGGCGCCGGCCTAGAGTGAGATTATGTTCGCGCGGCCATAGCCGCGTAGATGTAGACTAGGTGACGAGGAGGATCTGGGCTGTGAGACTGACGGGAGATGAGGGGAAGCTTACCTGGACTTACGGCGACAACACGTGTGATCCGCTGCTAGTCTCCATGAGGTGAGGAAGTGCAGTTCCAACCTCCATACTTTATTGCTGCCATGGGGGGAGGATTGGGGGGCTGTGATGATCTGCACGGTGATTATGTCAGAGGACGTTGCTGAGGTGGTGATAGGGGAGAAGCCAGAAGTGGAGAGAGATGAGGGGAAGCTTACCTGGACTTACGGCAACAACACGTGTGAGCCGCTGCTAGTCTCCATGAGGTGAGGAAATGCAGTTCCAACCTCCATACTTTATTTCTGACATGGGGGGAGGATTGGGGGGCTGTGATGATCTGCACAGTGATTATGTCAGAGGACATTGCTGAGCTGGTGATAGGAGAGAAGCCAGAAGTGGAGGGAAACATGCATGTACTATTGATTATCATTGTGACTCTCCTCCTCGTTTTTTTTCTCCTCTTTCTCTTCTCTCATGCTCTTATTTGATAAGACGGTACCCTTGAATTGTGCATATGATCGAGACATGGACATGTAACTGATGTTGGAGACTTCATGAGACGCACTGGGTTCAGACTTCTACTGTATTACCGACTGGCTTCTCAATGAGACTTGGTTCACTACAATTTGGTATTAGAGCGTTCTCCACTTACCTCACCGCCTGCTGACGATGACTTCGAGTGTGATGATGATGATGGCGAGTGGGATAATCAGGACGATGATGTAGAAGTGCTTGCCATCGAGGAAGAAGTACGGCATTTTGAAGATTGCTGCTGAGGAGCTATTCTACCAGCGAGGAGATAAAAAGTGCCTCGTGGCAGTGTATGCTGCTGATGTGGCACGACAGAGACATGTGAGGCCAAGAGAAGGTCCTGACGTGGCACATACTCATTGCAGGTGAGGTCACTGATTGCTGAGGTGACAAGTTGAATTGCTGACACAACCCACATCTATATGCTGACATGGACAGAGGACCTGCACTGAAGCAGGCACGAAGGTTGAAATCGCCTGCTGACGTGGCAAGAATTATTGTGCACGTCTTGAGCTTCTCTTGCTGACCGGCATACCACCAGAGACAGACACTGTAGTTGACGTGGCGTGCCTCCTTGAAGACGAGGCAGGCAGGCAGGCCTCCACTATTGACGTGGCAGACATTCATTGCTTGAGGGCAGGGCGCCATTACACCAATGTAAGGCGCCTTGCATGTGAGGTGCCAGACAGGCGGTACAACATGCGGAAAATGTTGTAGTGCCACGCGTCTGGACATATGCCTAGCGAGACACACACAAGTATAGAGAAGAAACTGACGTTGATTGCGTCGTTGTTGTGCTATTGATGCTGTTTCTTGCACACTGCATACTTACCTGTGGTCGGCTGTTGTCTTGTCGATCTTGCGGACTAACCTTCGTGTTGTGTCTTGATCCCATTGGACTTCGGCAAACTCACTGAGCACGACGAAGATAGACAGATCTTCGCGGTGGAACCCATCGATCTTGACATACCTGTAAGGAAAACTCTCCTTGGAGGCTATAAGATTGAGATTATCGAGGACCGATTGGTCAACCGTAATGGGGTTGATCTCTCTCATGTGCTTGGGGAATTGGTTACTCTCTCGTAGTTGAAAGGAAGCTGATGTAACTGAGAAGTGTTCGCCACAGGTCAAATCAACTATAGTCCACTGAATAGGCAGCGACCGCTGCAGAGCTAACAAAACCCTGAATTTGTCTGAGCACTGTTAAAATGATGTTTGAATGCTGCTTGAAAGCTGTGTGAAGATTGCCTGAAAATCGTCTGAATGTATTCTGAACATTGTCTGAATGTCGTCTAAAAATTCTCTCTTTATTGTCTGAATAAGCGTTGTGAAACGGTATTCACCAATTCGCAGTAGCTGATGCAGATCCCAGGGCTTGATCCCTAGTTCCCCATCTTACCTGTGTACAGTACCGGTGTCAACCCGTAGATTTGAACCTGCGACCTGTAGGACCGCCAGTGGTAGGTAGGATTTCGTAGGCTACAGGGTAGAAGAGATTCGAACTGTAGACCTGTCGGGTAGGAGTCTAGACAGTCTAGAGGTCGTAGCTGTAGACTGTCCGAAGGGTTAAGGTCGCAGCTGCTACTTACCTGAAAGGGCAAAGTCGTACCTGCTACAGTACCGAAAGGCCAAAACAGAGAGTTCTAGAAGTGGCCTTTCGGAGTCAGCCTACGTTAGGCAGAGGCAAGTGGTCAAGTGGTGGCAGTCCACCTCGTACAGTCAGCAGTCCCAGTCCACCCAGTCCGGTCCAGTCAAGCAAGTACCGTCTGGGACTGTGCACACCGTGGGCCAAGGGATACAAGGCAGACCAACGCATCACAGGAGTATAAAGCAAGAGGCTGCGCCCAGCCATTCATTCATTCCTGCGGAAGCCATGCGGAAGCGCTGCTTTAGCGTCTTGTGCAAGGAGGTCTGCTGGAGGCCCGAAGACGAAGAGGGAGAGAGTGAAGCAGTGTAGCCATAGCAATAGGTAGCGGCAGCCATAGCTGCCATAGCTTAGTGCAGAGTGCAGTGCGTGTGTACTGTGTGAGTGTGCAGAGTGATGTGCGTGGGACATCCAGGGTGATCCAGAGTGTGAACAGTGAGTTGTTTGGGCGCGCAGACGCCATAGCCATTTACAAGAGACCTCTTATCTGGTTCCGATATCTCTGAGTACTGAGTGGGCGCAGGTCGCCAGTTTGCTGTATCGCTGTTTACATGCATGCAAAAAGTGAATGAGTCGAGTCTGATTGCACTGGTATCGGAGCTGGTACCCGCTGTTCCACGTGCGAGTCGTGTGCAGGGCTGATGCGCCATAGCAGAGGTGGCGACCGAAGGAGGCAGTCCGCCATAGCGGACCTCGAGGTGGAAGAAGCCGCCGCGCACCTGCATCAAGAAGACCACGACGAAGAAGAAGACTGAGAGAGAGAGAGAGAGAGAGAGAGAGAGAGAGAGAGAG